GGGCATCCATCACCACTGGGCAAAGTGAAAAGTTGCTGTGTGTGACCCCAGGCTCCATTCGTCCAGCCAGAGCCGCCCCCAAGCAAGCGAGCTCTCAGTGGCCCGGGCAGTGCCCTAACGACCACTGAGTCAGGTATGTTGCCTGCAGAAACGTGTGAGGTTCAAATACAGCAAACTGGTATATGTAATTGTGTATTATTATGCAAATAGCTACTAGAACTGGCAGATTACCAACTGCCAGTTGGATTTTAGAATCTAAAAGACATAACAAACTAAGTTCCTTTCACTGAGGACTGATAAAGCTTTTAGAAAATAAAGTACAGTTGAGAACCTTCCTGGACCTTTGTAAGGTTCTTATAACTTAAAATTGATCATTTTAGCAGGTGACACCCAAAGCACAAATTGTAAATAGCACTCAAAGAAATACAGTGACGAGAAATTTTTTTTTCTATCCCTACTCCCAGACGCTAGTTTCCATTCCAGGAAACAACTATTGTTACCATTTTCTTGTAGAATGTTCTAAAGAAAAATTCTGCATTATAATCATATAAAGAGAGCTTCAAAAGTTGGTGGGGAAAATGAAATTAAAAGATAACACACATTTCCACGGACATTTTTTAAAAAGGTTTTTATTTATTTATTTGAAAAACAGAGTTACAGAGAGGCAGAGAGAGAGAGAGAGAGAGAGTTCTTATATCTGCTGGCTCACTTCCCAGATGGCTTCAATGGCCGGAGCTGGGCTGGCTCTGAAACCAGGAGCCAGGAGCTTCTTCCGGGTCTCCCACGTGGGTGCAGGGGCCCAAGGACTTGGGTCATCTTCCACTGCTTTCCCAGGCCATAGCAGAGGGCTGAATCAGAAGTGGAACAGCTGGGACTTGAAGCAGCGCCCATATGGGATGCCAGCACTGCAGGTGGCGGCTTTACCCGCTATGCCACAGTGTCGGCCCCTCCACAAACTGTTTGACGCCCCCTTATATACCAGGGTACTTCAAAATGTTTGTTAAAAATGTGCATATCTTAATTCTATTTTCCATGAACTTTATGAAGTACCCTCATACATACAAATATATTTCAACACTTTGCTTTTTTTCTTTTTGGCTACTAATATATGTTGGCTATTGCTTCCTATCAGTACATGTGAGACAGCCTTGTTTTCCGAGTAGGGATTACACTGTACTTATCACACCAGGATGCTATCGATGGACATTTACAGATTGCAGTTTAAGCTCTCATGATGGGTTGCTGAGGAAGAGTGTTAGTATTGCTTTGTTTTGTTTTTGGCTACTTGCTTGCTAGAAGAAATTAAGTCCACACCATTCTGGAAATGTATTTCTATTCCCGTTCTTCACAAAGGAATGTCCGTACTTGTGTCTGAGTCAAATTATGTCCCAGGAATACTCCAGTGAGTGCATCTCTGACTCATTTCATGCCTCCTTCACAGAATTCTTGCAAAAGGGCCCTGCCCCTTGCATAGCTATGTTGACTTTCTCTCACTGTTCCACTTATGACTCACTGCCAGCCTCATCCAACAGGGGGCATGTTGAGCCGCGGTGCACCAGCTTACCAACACCCACACCCACCACGGGGACAGCACAGTCCTTTCTGGAGCATTCCACTCGGGTGCAGAGAAAATAAGCAGCTTCTCCCCATCTGTAGTTGCTTTCAGCACTCCGTTGGTGCTTTGCATTTTCCATTGCTCACTCTGTCTGCCCACAGGCACACTGTTCCATTGTGTGCTTTCAGCCGCAGAGACAGAGACTATAAAAGGGAGAGTGAAGTCAAAGCAAACAACCCCTTTGGCCCAGAAAAGAACACCAAGATGCAACCGAGTCAGCAGCTAGAGTCTGACACCCTCGCATATCCCTCCGCCCGTCCATCCATCCGTCCACCTGTTCAGCGAAGTGTGACTACTAACCAGGAGCCAGCCCTGGGGCTAGGGACTTTAGTGAGAATGCATAAAGTCCAGTTCCTCACAGTGCAGCAGGAAGACAGATGCACAAGTAGCTTCTGGCATAACAAGGCAGGCACTCCAACAGCTTAGGGAAGGGGGTCACGCCGTGGGGCAGGAGACATGTGGGGCAGGGTCCCCAGGGGACAGTGCTAAGGTCTAACGGGCAAGGCAGGGAGCCCCTCCTAACCCCCATGCACGGGGAATAGCCAGACGTTGCTCAACTGTTCCTATCATGGTTCTGCCCTGAGTCTTATCAGTTTACATTTAGGGTTATCCAGTAGATGCTGTGATGTGTTCCATCAGTGTTGGAACCGCACTGGGAGAGATCCTAGGGCGACACAGTGTTTGTTATTCATGAACAGCTGGGATGAGTGACGTGTCTCACATCAGAGAACCCATCCTGTGTGGAAGCCCCGCCCTCTGCAGCTGGCTGGCAGCTGCCACGCACCGCGGTGGGGTTTTTGTTTTTGTTTTTGCCAGCTCTATAGGCACTGCTCTTATCTCTCTCATCAACGAACCATGCCTGTCTTATTTGTCCATTTCTCTTCCTCAAAAATTCCTTCCTTTCTTCAAACATTAAGAGGTAGAGTAACTCCTGAGCCAGAAAACAATGAAGATTATTTATTCAGTGCTGATTTAGGCATAACTTGGCGGTGTTACCACTTAAGGGACCCAGCCAGTGCATTTACTGTGGGGTAGGAGATTTCGTTTTAGTGAAATGGTGTCTCAGGCCCACAAAGAGAAAATATCAAGAACACAGGTTAATGAAATACCACGGAATCTCTCCTTCTTGTCTTGAACAAGCACTTGCCTTCTTCTTCTGAAAAACAAAACAAAAACAAGCACACACACAGAGAGAAAAATCCCAGGGCAAATGGATGGAACTTTCCTGTCTGCTGGAGGTGGAGCCATCTATTTTCTTTTTCTGTTCAAACTCTGTCTTCTACAACTGCACCTACCAACCCCTCACCTTGACCTACCATAGTTTATCCAAAGAAAGAGCCTTCCTCGCTGCTGAAAGAGCACTCAAAAGTCACCAGGAAACTTTATATCCCACCAAGTATCTCTCCTTTTCTAATTTTACTAGGACTCTGCTTTAAATAAAGCAGTTTTTTTTTTTTTTAAATCCCTGCTGACCAAGATCCTTGTGGATCTTCCTTTTGGCCTTGGGACACTGTATTATTCTTATTTCTTTCATGTCCTATTTGCTAGTTTATTTTTTCTTTCATTTTCCTTTTTTTAAAAAATAAGTTTTTAAAACTGCTGACAATAGTACAAATTAGCCACTTTATGAAGGTGTAATTCACATATCACACAATTTACCTACAGTATACAATTCAGTGGTTTTTATTTTATTTTACAAATTAAAAAATTTTTATTTGAGAGACAGAGAAAGACAGAGCTCTCATCACTGGTTCACTCCCCAGATGCCTGCAGCAGCTGGGGTTGAACCACGCCAAAGCCAGGGGCTGGGAACTCAGTCCAGGTCTCCCACATGGGTGGCAGGGGTCCAAGTACTTGTGACCTCACCTGCTGCCTCCCAGGGCGTGTATTAGCAGGAAGCTGGAACTGGAGCTTGGACTTGAACCCAGGCGCTCTGGTATGGGACAAAGGCATCCCCAGCAGTGTCCCAACTGCTGCACAGTGCTGGGTGCTTCTGGCATAATGTTTTTATGTCACATGTTGCAGTGCGTATCAAGACTTGAGTTGTTTTTGTGGCAGAATAATCTTCCATTGTATGAATATGCCATATGGTGTTTATTCATCAGCTCATGGAAATTTGAGTTATTTCCATCCTGGGGCTATTATGAGTAATTCAGCTAGGAGCTCCCATGCCATTTTTTTTTAAATCCCATTTTCTTAATTTCCTGTTGATTCTGTCTCAGCCCTTTGCTCTTCCTTCAGGCATCTTCCCTTTTTCTTCATCTTCTCCATGGCGTCCTTCTTACCAAGGTGCTACAAGTGTCTCTATTCCTGAAATGGGGAAATACTAAAAATATTTAGGGGCTGGGATTGTGGCGCAGCAGATTAACTGCTACTTGTGATGCCAGCATCCCACGACTCACCCCAGCACCTCTGCTTCCAATCCAGCTACCTGCTGTGCACCTGGGAGGCAGCAGATGATGACACATGTACTTGAATTCTTTTTTTTTTTTTAAGATTTATTTATTCGAAAGACAGAGTTACAGAGAGAGGTCTTCCATCCACTGGTTCACTCCCCAGTTGGCCACAGCAGTTGGAGCTGAGCTGATTCAAAGCCAGGAGCCAGGAGCTTCTTCCAGGTCTCCCACATGGATGCAGGGGCTGAAGGACTTGGGCCATCTTCTACTGCTTTCCCAGGCCATAGCAGAGAGCTCGATCGGAAGTGGAGCAGCCAGGACTTGAACTGGTGTCCATATGGGATGCTGGCGCTGCAGGCCGGGGCTTTAATCCACTGCACCACAGCACCAGCCCCAGTACTTGGATTCTTGCCACTCACATAGATCTGAATGAAGTCCTGAGCTCCTGGCTTCAGTCTGGCCCAGACATGGCTGTTAGGGCCATTTGGGGAATGACCCACTGATGGGATTCCACAGGTGGAAATTCCATACCTGACCTCATGATGAGTTGCAGTCAAAACACAGGTGCAGGGCTGGCATTGTGGTGCAGTGAGTTAGGCTGCCACTTGCAACAGCGTTATCCTGTATTGGAATGCCTGTTCAAGTCTTAGCTGCCCTGCTTCTGATCCAACTCCTTGCTAACACACCTGGGAAAGCAACAGAAGATGGCCCGGGTGCTTGGGCCCCAGACACCCACATGCAAGACCCGGATGGAATCCTTGGCTCCTGGCTTTAACCTGCAGCCATTCAGGGAATGAACCAGTGGATGGAAATCTCTTCCTATCCCTCTCCCTCCCCCTCTCTCTGTCACTCTGCCTTTCAAATAAATAGATAAATCTTTAATGGGGGAAAAAAACCCATATATATAGGGATAGATATTTGGTCCAGCAGTTAAGAGGCTGCTTGGGATGCCCACATCCCATATCAGAGTGCCTGGGTTTGAGTCCTGGTTCTTTTTTTTTTTTTTTTGACAGGCAGAGTGGACAGTGAGAGAGACAGAGAGAAAGGTCTTCCTTTTGCCATTGGTTCACCCTCCAATGGCCGCCGCAGCCGGTGCACCGCGCTGATCCGAAGGCAGGAGCCAGGTGCTTCTCCTGGTCTCCCATGGGGTGCAGGGCCCAAGTTCTTGGGCCATCCTCCACTGCACTCCCTGGCCACAGCAGAGAGCTGGCCTGGAAGAGGGGCAACCGGGACAGAATCCGGCGCCCCGACCGGGACTAGAACCCAGGGTGCCGGCACCGCAAGGCGGAAGATTAGCCTAGTGAGCTGCGGCACCGGCTTGAGTCCTGGTTCTGCTCCCAATTCCAGCTTCCTGCTAGTACCCACCTTGGAAGTGGTAGCTCAAGTAATTGGGTTCCTGCCACCCACATGGGAGGTTTGGACTGAGTTCCCGGCTCCCAGTTTTGGCCTGGCCCATCTCTAGCTTTTGCAGACATCTGGGGAGTGAACCAGCAGATGGAACTTCTCCCCCTGTCTGTCTCTCTGTGTCTTTCTTTTTCACAAATAAATTAAATAAGGATTTTTTAAAATGCAGGTACAGTAAAATCTTGTATAAAATTACCTCTGGGCTATGTGTGTATAAGGTATATATAAAATATAAATGTATTCTCTATTTAGGCTTAGGTCCCATCCCCAAGATAGCTCATTACATATCCAAAATGCAAAAAATGCTGCAATCCAAAACTTCTGGTCTCAAGTATTTTGGACACAGATATTCAGCCTGTAGTCCTTTTCTGTGCCAGGAATTATCCAAGGGATCCTAAAACAATCGTTGAATCCCATGAGACCAGGAAGATTCTGAGGGGCTCTTGAGGGAGGAGGGTTGGGGCAGTGCTGCTTACCAATATGTGCATAAACTATTTTGATATTTTTAATGGTCAGCCTTGGGCCCTGGTCAGTCTCTCAGACACTGGGGCCTCGCCTCATCTCCTACTGCTTGCAGTCCTAGCTGGAGGTCCCACCATCACCCCAACTCTACACATAGAAGCTAAGCTAAGACCCTTCATTATTTTCTTACTTTGGTCAGTGGTACCAGCATCTAATCACCAGGGACTCCAACCTTGAAGTTCTCATTTGTGGGTGATGCTGTGTCTGGCTGGGAGACTGCCTGCCCTGCCCATGCAGGAGGCTGAGGGGCGGGCACACCATGCCTCCTGGGAAGGACCCTATGACCTGACTGCTGGCAGGCAGCGGGAGCCCCAGGCGCATGTCCCTCACCCCGCTTCCTTGAAGGGCCTTGTAACTGCCAACCAGGTAAACAGCTTCCGAGTGTGGCCCAGGCCCATAGGGACCACCTGGGAGGCCACACAGGCTACGTGACCCTCAAGCTGATTGGAGAAGCATTGTGGCGCCGATATCAGCTTTATCCTATAGAATTAGTGTTGCCCTGAGTTAGCTTCGCCCCCTCTGCCTGCTGTGTAAAAGGTGTGCTTGGCTGTCAATAAACGGACATGTTCACCAAAACTTGTCTCCAGTGCTTCTTGTTGAGGAACGCCGTCGCCCCACCATCCGGGCAGTGCAGGCCTTGAAGGAAGAGCCCACAATCATTAACTCTCCTCCCTCCCCACCTCCCAGCAAACTAAATCTCAACTGCTGCCTCCATTTCTGCCCTCCTCCCATTCCCACTCCCGTGGCCGAATCTCTGGCCCTGCTGTTGCCAGCTGAAGCCTGCCCTGCTGTACTTTCCTATTTTGTCTCTGTGCCTCTCGTGTCTTCCCTCCAGCTCACCCTACGTGCACAGCACTGCCAGTTAAGCTTCCTCTAGCGCTGTCTCCCCTCTGTGAAAGCTCATTCTGTCTTACCTTACTCAGTACAGTAGCGATGTATTACTTTTGCTTGGCACCTACTACTGAATACGTGTTGTTGATGATGATAATGAAGATGATAGAGAATTCCTTCCTTTAAAAAAAAAAGAATTGTTTAATTTATTTGAAAGAGAGATACAGAGAGAGGTAGAGCCAGAGAGGGAGAGAGGTCTTCCACTCTGCTGGTTCACTCCCCAAATAATCACAAAGGCCAGAACTGAGCTGATCCAAAGCAGGTGCAGGGCCCAAGGATTTGGGCCATGGTCCATCTTCTACTGCTTTCCCAGGCCATCGCAGAGATGCTGGATCGGAAGAGGAGCAGCCAGGACTCAAACCGGCACACATATGGGATGCCAGTACTGTAGGCTGGGGCTTTAACCCGCTGCGCCACAGTGCCAGCCCCTGAAGAATTCCTTCTATTCTTTTACATTAATTTCTTGCTACTTGGGTTTGCCTATTCCAAAGATATGCTTGAGCACCATCCTATTTGATATCTCTGGTGTCAGTGTTGTGGCTTTTTTCTGTCTATACTTTTGTTCTCTCCAACTAAGTTCTTGTAAGCCAGGACTTCTTTGATGCCTGCGCAGGGCCTAGCACAGTCTACTATATTCAAAAGGCTCCAGGCTTAGAGTACTGGCTTTACATCCATGTACCTGGACTGTCAGAGCAGTGAGAGGCCCTAGCAATGTGCATTCAGGACCATGTGTCACCTTTGGGGTCATCTGGCTAAATATTTTTCAGATGATGGAAATAAGACATCCACCCCCCCCCAAAAATCAGAGAAAATAAATGGAAATTTGAGGAGCCACAACTAGTGCCAGCATCCCATATGGGCACTGGTTCAAGTCCTGGCCATTCAACTGCTGATCCAACTCCCTGCTAATGTGCCTGGGAAAGCAAGTGGAAGATGTACCCATGTGGGAGACCTGGAAGAAGTTCCTATCTCCTGGCTTTAGATCAGCACAGCTCTGGCTGTTGCAATCATTTGGGGAAATGAATCAGCGGATGGAAGAGCTCACTCTCTCTAACTCTGCCCTTCAAATAAATAAATAAATATTATTCTAGAAATGGAAACTTGGGGCCGGCACTGTGGCGTAGTGGGTAAGGCCACCACCTGCAGTGCTGGCATCCCATATGGACACCGGCTCGAGTCCCGGCTGCTCTACTTCCGATCCAGCTCTCTGCTATGGCCTGGGAAAGCAGTGGAGGATGACCCAAGTCCTTCAGCCCCACATCCATGTGGGAGACCTGGAAGAAGCTCCTGGCTCCTGGCTTCAGATCGGCGCAGCTCCGGACTGTCTCGGCCAATTAGGGAGTGAGCCAGTAGATGGAAGACCTCTCTCTCTCTGCCTCTCTGTCTCTCTCTGTGTAACTCTGACTTTCAAGTAAAATAAATCTTTATTAAAAAAAATGGAAACTCGGCCGGTGCCACGGCTCAATAAGCTAATCCTCTGCCTGCAGTGCCAGCACACCGGGTTCTAGTCTTGGTTGGGGCGCTGGATTCTGTCCTGGTTGCCCCTCTTCCAGGCCAGCTCTCTGCTGTGGCCAGGGAGTGCAGTGGAGGATGCACCCACTTGGGAGAACAGGAGGAAGCACCTGGCTCCTGGCTTCGGATCAGCGCGGTACGCTGGCCGCAGCAGCCATTGGAGAGTGAACCAACAGCAAAGGAAGACCTTTATCTCTCTCTCTCTCTCTCACTGTCCAAAAAAAAAAAAAAAAAAAAAAAGGAAACTTGATTCAATGTGAATTCAGATGTGAATTTTAGAAAATGAGCTAGTAAAGAGTTTAAATTATAGAATAAAAATTTCAACTTCATCATTTTCCTGTTGGGTATACTTACTCTGCTCATAAAATTTTCCACGTAGAGATTATGCCTAATTATGCAATACACAGAGAAGTGGAATTTGACATGAGAATGATCCATTGACAGATCTGTAATACTTAGCATAAATCTGTTAAAATAATTTGATTTTTTCAGAATGCGTGCAGTGTCATCTATAAGCAGAACTGGTGTCAGTAATGAATTTCTTTTGTTGTTTATTTTTCTTTTCAATTAATTTGCTGAGACTCAGAGAGAAAGAGACAGACAGAGATCCCTCATCTGCTGGTTCACTCCCCAAATGCCTACAACAGCCAGGGCTACCAGATCCATCCTCAAATTCAATCCATGTCTCTCATGTGAACGGAAGGGACCTGAACACCTGAGCCATCACCTGCTATCCCCCAGGGTGCGTGTTAGCAGGAAACGAGCCGGGACTCAGACCCAAGCACTCCAATATGGATGGGAGCGTCCCAAGTGGCATTTTTTTTTTTTTTTTAGGATTTACTTATTTATTTGAAAGGCAGAGTTACAGAGAGGCAGAGAGACAGAGAGAGAGAGAGAGAGAGAGTGAGTGGGAGAGAGATCTTCCATCCACTGGTTCATTCCCCAAATGGCTACAATGGCTAGAGCTGGGTTGATCCAAAGCCAGGAGTCAGGAGCTTCTTCCAGGTCTTCCATGCAGGTGCAGGGGCCCAAGAACTTATGCCATTTTCTACTGCTTTCCCAGGAGCATTAGTAGGAACTGGACTGGAAGTAGATCAGCCAGATCTGGAACCAGCACCCATATGAGATGCTGGCACTGCAGCCGGTGGCTTTACCCTCTGCGCCATAGCACCAGCCTCACCAAGTGGCACCTTAACTGCGCCAAATAACTGCCCCATTAGCTTCCTTTAAATGACTTGGAAGTATGAGTATCTTTTGAGAACTTAGTTTAATGAACACAAATGAATCTTCAGAATTTTCTAGACCCATGGAAAAGACTTGCAGGAGTTGGATCAGATATATTAACAAGCTAAAAGAAAATAAGGACAGGGGCCGGTGCTGTGGCATAGTAGGTTAAGCCACCACCTGCAGTGCAGGCATCCCATATGGGCACTGGTTCAAGTTCGGGCTGCTCCACTTCCAAACCAGCTTCTTGCTAATGTGCCTGGGAAGGCAGTGGAAGATGGTACAAGTTCTTCAACCAGGAAGAAGCTCCAGGCTCCTGGCCCAGCCCTTGCCAACATGGCCATCTGGGGAATGAACCAGCAGATGGCAGAGCTCAATCTCTCTCTCTCTTTCTAGCTCTGTCTTTCAAATAAATAAAAAATAAATCTTTAAAAAATAAATAGGGAAAAATAAATAAATAAGTAAATAGATAGATAGATAAAACAAATAGGAGCCTGGTGTTGTGGTATGCTGGGTTAAGCTACCAGCTGCAATGCTGATATCCCAATGGGCATCAGCAGATGTCTTGGTCTCTCCCTCTCTCTCTGTCCCTCTGTCACTTTCAAATAACATAAAAACAACTTTAAACATTCTTAGAAAAATATTTTAGATGCTAAGTTTGAGGATAAAATGTTTATATCTATAAAGGGACACATAAGAATGGTTGGCGTCCAGTGAGTGGCAAGAAATGTGCCTGACCTTCTGCCTTTCTGCCACTGGAACAGGGAGTTCAAGAACACAGGTTCTGTCAAACCCATTCTGCTGCCCTAAGGGGAGCCCCCTTCCTCTCCACGTTCCAGCGGCAACTGAGACCAAATCTTCCAAACAAGCCTCTCTCCATAAACATAGTACGTGTTCAGCGGCTGTGTGCATTTAAGCAAAACCATTTCGTTTGTGGAATCTGGCCCTTATCCCAGAAAACAGTGTTTCCGTTTCACAGTGTAAGGGAACAGGAAGAGCATGAACTCTTGTTTAGACGTTGATCCTCCGTGCTGCGCTCAGATACCCACACTCCCATTGTGCTCTGGGTGTGGCCGTCCAGCTGCGTGCTAGAGCAGTGACTCATTTTTCCACCAAGGCACATATTTCTATGAATCCCAGGGGTTGCAGATCGGTGTGAAAGAGCAGGCAGCACTCACTTGTTTCCTGGACTCATCACACAACTGAAAGAGATGATTTAAATGTTTCTTCCATCAGTTTAAAAATACAGAAAAAATAGAATAATAATTTGTATCCTCTGGGGCCTGATAATCTCACTGAAGAAATAAATAAACAAGAAGTAGAAGGATTTCCAAATATATGTCTGTTGCCCAATACAAATGTGTATGAAATACATTCACTAAGGTTTAAGAGCTGAAGAATTAAGAGTATTTAATTAAAAAAAATAAGAGAGTAATCAAAATGAGAAGAGCTACCAGGAAACAAATTTTCACTTCAAAAATGTTGAAGTTATTGGCGTCAGCTTTGTGACAGGGTGGATTAAGTCACTGCCTACAATGTTGGCATCCCATATGGGCACCATTTCCTGTCCTGGCTGCCCCACTTCCCATCCTGCTCCTGTAAATGGTCTGGGAAAAGCAGCAGAAGATGGCCCAAGTGTTAGGGCCCCTGCACCCAGGTGGGAGATCTGGATGGAATTCCTGGGTTCAGCCTGGCCCAGTCCTGGCCATTGAGGCCACCTGGGGCATGAACCAGCAGATGGAAAATCAATTTCTTTCTCCCTTTAACTCTGACTTTTAGATAAATAAACAAATAAATCTTCAAAAGAAAAAAGCATTTGTGAAGCCATCATTTATATAAAAAATAAAGAAAATGGCCAGCACTCCCAGGAAAACCCCAGCATGTCTCCTCACCATCCCAGCCAAGGACACCGTGTTCCTGATTTTCATGACTATCTTTTAGCGTTGTTTTCCTTTGTGACATATGTAGACATTATATTCTGCAAACAAGTCATTTTTTAGTTCTGTGGGTTGCATCATTTCCCTTACCCTGTGATGTACCTTGCCTTTCTTGTTTGCTTATCTAAGAGGCAGAGAGACAGATCGGGAGACACTGGATCAATCCTCAATTGCCTGCAACAGCCAGCACTGGGCTGGGGCCGAAGCTGGGAGCTGGGAGTGCCCATCCAGGTTTCCTACGTAGGTGAACAAAACCCAAATACTGCTTCCCAGGGTCTGCATCGGCAAGAAGCTTGAGTCAGGAGCCAGACAAGGAACTGGAGCCAGGTACAGTGATGTAGGATGTAGATGTCTTTTTTCTTTTCTTTCTTTTTTTTTTTTTTTAAGATTTATTTATTTTTTGAAAGTCAGGGTTACACAGAGAGAGGAGAGGCAGAGAGAGAGAGA